GAGAGAGAGTGAGAGAGAGAAAGGTAAAAAGAAGGAAATAGTTAGCGGATTTTATTTTATTTTATTTTTTTTAGAAAAAAACACACAAACGTGAAAAGTAATCAAAAGAGTCCAACACAAAAGTTCAATTGAAAAACCTTTTGTATTTAAAATTTTTTCCTTTGACTTTTCCTTTTTCTGTTTCGAAGTTTTTTTTTTTTTTTTTTAATTTTATAGCGGGTTTATATAGAGTCGCGGTTTGAATTTATAACTATAAAGAAACGACGTCATTCTATATAAACTTTTGTTGTTGACGTCATTAACTCAAAGTTTTCCAACCGGAATTTTAAACTCGGAATTTTAATACGAAAAAAAAAAAATTTTTTTTTTTCTACCACTCGAATCTTTGTAGGGGGAAAAAAAATTATTATCATTATTATTATTATTATTATTTTATGTCACGTTCGCAGTATTTTAAACGTCTTTCATTTTGTCAAATCGAATATTCTATAATAATGATGATGATAATAATAATAATAATGATGATTTTTAAATTACGCGATTAAACTCGTTAAAAAAAAAAAAAAAAAAAATTAATAATAATAATAATCATTTACGGTTTTGGTTTATGCAAAGCTTGAGAGAGAGAGAGAGAGAGAGAGAGGAGGGAGGGGGAAGGAAGGGAAAAATTTTGGGGGAGGGAAGGAAAAAAGGGAAAAATCTTTGTAAAGTAAATATTTATATAAATAATCAAAATAAATAATTAGAATTATGAATTTAAATTGAGAAAGAGTGAGAGAGAGAAAACAAATTTTTTTTTCTTTCTTTCTATCTTCCTCTCTCTCTCTCTCTCTCTCTCTCTCTCTTTTTCTCATTTTATTTTCTTTTAGTGTTTCAACCCATGAAATTCAACTTCGATTCACTTGATGACTTTTTTAATAAAAAGTTTTATTGTGGAATAAAAACTTTTGATAGTGGCAATAGAATTAAGAGAAGAATAGCGAGCGAGAGAAAGAGAGGGAGGAGGGAAGGGACAGAGGAGAGGGG